CCCTAAAGCTTATTTTAGAAGGCTGTAATTAATAATATAGAAATATTCCCAAGTAAATATTTGCTTATCAGATAAAGGATACTGTATCTGGTTTCCTGCGTATACTTAACGTCTTTCATTCACTTATCTTTTTAAGAAATGTATTTATTTGGACCCAGAACATAGAGTTCAGTATAAATAGCAAGGTTTTTTTGTTGTCTATTCTTACTCCTAGCCAGTGTATAAATATCCAAGATCGGCCTTCCACTGACTGGAGCTCTCCAAGTGTATTGGACTACAAGTCCCAGAATTCCCAGTCTTGAAATGGCCCTGGGGCCTTAGGTTTTGCACTTCTGTTCCTAGATAAAAGCAACCTATCAAGTCAACTGAAATATTTAACCAAGTGAAATATAACAGTAAAATGCAGTACTGTATTTTAAATACAGTACTGCAGTGAAACTGCTAGCACAATTTGCATTCTTTTAACATTTTATTTCACAATCTTATTTCCTGCACAGAGATTCCAAGAACAGTCCTGTGCATGTTTATGCAGTTAAAATCTTCACAAAAATATTAAATAAGTTGTCTATGTGTAGGAATGCAGTCTTTTGAGTTCCTTTGACTATGTTATTTCTCTCATCAGAAAAGAGAAAGTGGAATTAACATGTAGCTTCTTTCTTTTATCTCTCCCTTCAGTAAATGTTTGACTGAACTCTTCTGAAAATAAATAGACTGAACTCTCAGTTCTCTTGAACGCCAATTTGCAATTGCCAGCACTACCCATTGCTTGCCCTTATTTCTCATCCACCTCTGAACAGACATAGCCTTCTCCAACCTGGATGCCTTCAAACTGGTCCAGGACATTAATACAATGGCTTTGTTGGCTGGGGAATTCTAGTTGTTGATCCACGCATCTGAAGGATAGTCACATTGTGGAGGCAAAATTGAACTTTGCTGCTGAAGTTACTGTAGAGATAATATAGTATTGCCTTGGGAAAAACAGACAAGGTGATGGCTATACTGTTACTAAAATCCAATATACTAAGCCCATTTCTAAATTCTTAACTCTGTAAATGGTAACTACCTTATAATGGTCTGATGGCACTGCACTCTTGTACCTTATTTCTTAGATTTCTACAAATTTCTTAGAGAATCTTGCTATAGTCCCAGAAAGGTAAGCTTTTATTTACAGAGGGGAGGAAAGAAATCAAGATCTTTTGCCTATTGTACTCCCTCCTATCATTTTTTAGATCAATCGTCCACAGCCTGGCATCTGACTGATGCACTGGTACTACAAATTCCAGAATTCCCCACACCAGTGAGCATTTTAGAAACTGCAGCCTTATCTGGATGCTTTTGATGGGGGAAAGCTGTAAGGAAAATTCCAAATAAGCAAATATTAGCTGCCTAGCTCAATGAAGCTGCCATAAGCCTTCTATTTAACATCAATTATTATTACAATAAAGCTAAGTGGCATTACCAATTTTTTACTCTAAAGGATGTGTGCTACAGATTCCAATTTGCTTATTCTGTCTGAATAAGGTAGCACCATGGTCAGCTCAGTTATGGCTTTTCTTATTTATAACTGCTCCATATTTCCTGTAGCTCTGCCATTTCTGCACGGAATAACCTTGAAGTGTCTTATTTGTAGAAACCCCACAACCTAGAATACAATTTCTTTCCCTCCTACCTTTTCTCCTTCGGGAAACTATTTCTGATTCTAAAAATGCCACAACATCCCCCCCAAAAAAAACAGAAGAAAAAAATAAAGCATAACATATGGTGTACTTTATGAGTACTTATAGCTATAGATTTGTAGAATTAATATATAAATATTAAACATCCAGCCTAAATAACTACTCTGTGTCTTCATTATTTTTTAAATATCTAAATATATTGATATATGTGGAATAATACCTCACAAATGCATATTATGTTAGAAACACTGTGTTAAGAGGTAACAATGCTTTCATATTAAGTGATCAAAAACACAAAAAGAAGTGATTTCTCCTACCCCTCTAAATGGCATTTTTCCTTCTCTTCATATCTAAATGCAGATGCATTCTTACCTTGAAATAGAATCAATCTAAAGAAGAAAATTACATAAGAATCTCTAGTAAAGCCCACATAAAATATCATGGTGTCACTAGTTTGAAGTCAGAGTGAACTGAATGAAGACCAACCTCTATCAATCATAATTTGTCATCACATCTATGCATGGCAAAATTAAAATATCTGTGTTCTTCAGGGACAACAGTATAGTTCACAATTTCCTATATCACAACTAGATTCAAATACAGCATTAACTCATGTGTGAGTGATCTACATATCCATTCATCTACATATCAGTTTATAAACTCAATACCTATTTATTCAGAAAATCTATGCTTCCTTCTTTTTTTGAATATCTGGATAGCATGATTTATTATTTTCTTTTTTATCAATAACATGGGTTTAATGTCAGCAAATGAGGGACATATATATTAACAAGTATGAGACAACTCAGAAGATAAAAACCTGTCTTAGTTTACATTATTTCTTCTGCAAAATATTAAACAATGAAAGTTCAGAACTTAACCTATATCCAGATAGATATTCAAAGAAGTATCTTCTCATATGCATCTCTTTCTTTGGATTTGCATCAGCTGCAGATGTTACCTTTATGTATCTCATTGCTTTCAATGATAACTAGTCTTATATAACTACATATAGCTAAAACTGGAACAGAATAATAATAAAAATATTATTTTTAAATGTGCACAATAGTAATCTGTTCAAAGATCAATGACAACTCTTCCTATACTAGTTTAAAATCATCATTATTTGAGTCCTGGTTTATACATGCATTTCAACAAACAGCTGAACCATGTACCGTGTTAGCAGTGTGTGAACCATGGTACTAAAGGCATTGTAAAAGGTCCATCTGCAGGGTTCTCCCTCTATGTATTCATGCATGCCCACTGTAATTTGACACTGAAGTTATCAAGTGATGCATAGGAATTGGTTCTACTCTCATTTTGCTAAAATTCCCAGTTTCCCAAATGAAGATGAAAACATAGTATTACAAATGTAACCTTAGGAAAATCTCACAGCTGTTTATTTGAACTTCAGATGGTCAGGAATATTATACATACTTCAAAGCTTTTCCAATAAAGCTTTTCTAAATCTGATGAGTAGAAAAATGCTGAATATCTGCCTATCTTGTTTTTATCCTTATAATTTTGTTTCCCAGCAAACGGGACACAGATAATAATTTACCGGCAAATGTTTTATATTATACAAAAATAAGGACAACCACCATTCTTATGGTTCTTAACCAATTCATCATTACCCATTTCTTTCCTATACAAAAGTCATTGCAATCTAAGTCTGATCACAGCTACACTCTTCCTTAATTGCTATCTCAAGAGAAAAAGAGCCTCTAACATTTATAATTTTTTACAGCAAGCACTCTATAAGGGTAACAGAAGTTTATTTGGTATCACTTAAGAAGAGTTAAGACCTTGAAATTTACGAGGAACTTCTTAACAGCCGGTACCCTTGATAAAAAGCACCAGGTCCAAGCATTACATAAGAAAATGCTGCCCCCTTCAGGCAAGGTCCAACACTGAATCAACATTTATTTGCCGCAAACACGTTCGTAGAAAACAATCAGCGTCTTATGTTTGCAGGGAAAAAACGCCACCCAATGATCGCACTTCATTTGGTCAATCCCACAACGACACTGAATAACCTAAGAACCTGCCTACTATGAATTCTGTATGGTCCGCAGCCATCGGCCTTCCCTCTCACTCTCCAAGCGCACGGATGTGAAAACCAGCATTTACAAGAAGAATTATGCATGGCAGACATACTACGAACAACGAAGAGAAAAGCTGCAGGATTAACTCTTTCGGGGCTTGCGCTGAATGGAATTCACAACTAAGTATTTCAGCTGCCAGTTAAATAGTCTCATCTACTTTTCTTCTGGGCTCTCCGTGCATGTCAGTTTATCTGTGTACTGTGTGTCGGGCTAGAAATATGCACCTGCCAACGCGTTAGCCGCTATTTATTTGTGCGGCTGGAGGACAAGGAAAGAAGGATGCTGCAAAAGAGGCATCATGTCCAAGGAGAGTAGCTGCTGCTGCTGCTACTGCTCTGGGAAGCCGGAAGAGCCGGCATCTTCCCTCCTCCTCCTCCTCTATATTTTGGCACACACCTCTTAAGAAGGAAGGGCAAACCTTCTCACTCATTCCATCTCTCTCGCTCCTGCTTCCCTCCCGCTGCCGAGCACTAGAAATCCGACTAGCCTCCTCCTCGCCCTTCAGGAGTTCACAGAGAGCATCAAGTGGCGCTCCGAGTACGCAAAGGCTGCATGCAGCTCACCTCAGCTCAGCTATGCAGGTGGCCAAGCGCCTGCTCCAAGCTCACCAACCACAAATCCCTGACGTGCCTCTGTTGCTTCAATAACGGGCGGCGCTTCCTCAGTACTGCTAAAGCTGCAGGTTTAGTCGAGGCTGCTGGGCCAAAAAGCTGCCCAGGGAAAAGAAGCCGCAAATGCTAAATTGCAGTCACTAAGCGAGCGAGGGGGAGGGGGGCTGGACGGAGGAGTGCAAACAAAACCTGAAGTGACTCCGTATCAACGACCGGAATTCTTTCCCGATGACTTTTCTGCTTCACGTTATTCCCATTTGCGGCCGACCGCTGCTGCAGCAGCAGATGGTCATAATAAAACGCTGGGGAGATACATAGACCAGCGCGACTCCGCTTTGAACGACTGCAATCCTTTACACGTCCGTTTCCCTTTCCCTGTTAGACTCGCATCGTTTCTGTCCTAGGCCAACTACTGCTGTTCGAAGTGGCATTATAAGAGCCAAGCGGCAGGGGCAAGGACGCAAACACGAACGTCTGTCATCCCAGGCCAACAGACTGGCCTCCCATCGGCTCCATTTCTCATCAAGGACAACGACCTTTCCCTCCCAACCCCACGCCGAAAGGTGCCCGGCGCTGGCCACACAGCGAGCTTCCTTCCCCTCACTCACCTCAGTGTCGTAGTAGCGCAGGTCCAGAGAGTATGGGTTGAGCAGCGATTCGTTGAGGATCTGCTCCATTGCCAATTGCATGGCCGGTAGGACCCCCCGGCCGATCTTGCCCTTCTCCACGGAGTCGCTCAGAGGCATTAAGCCCATAATGGCGATGGGGGTCGTGGGGGAGGAGGCGGCGTTGGGGGGTAACCCTGCCAGTCCCCGAGAGTTGCTCCGCGCCCAGGCTAGGGAGAACAACAGTGGCAGCAGAAGCAAGGCAGAAGGGATGGCCGCGCTCGGCCGCCAGGACAAGGCAGGCATCCTGCGGGGAACGTCAGGGGGAGAGCAGTCTCAGGGCGCCTGCTGCCCTCCGCCGAGCAGAGAGGAAGGGGCGCGCGCGCTGCGGCCCCCTCGGTTCGATCCTCCTGGCAATGGCGCCTGCTCTTTCCTCGGGGTGGCTAACAGGCAACCACTCTGGGAACCA